AATTTGTTTCTGTTATCAGTGTAACTGCTTCATATTCAGAAGACTGGTGCTGGAGCATCAATAAAAATGATCTTAATGAAGATAATTTGTAAAAAAAGTAAAAAAATGAGGAAGCACTAAATATTTGCTTTAGACTGTGCTAGCAGTTAAAACAATAATTTTAAGACGACAAATATGGTATAACAGAGAGTAAAACATTTATACAATCTGCAAATCTTATCACCTTTTTGGTTCTCAGTTATTATGTATGTTCAATACAGCTGTTATTTAGGTCTTAGGTAAAGCATCTAAAAAAAAAAAAGAGAACTTGACAAAAATAAAATTTCGTACAGTTAAAGAAATCTTTTAAACAGATAAAATTATATTTTTTTTTTATTCATCCTGCTTGTAAAAAGATTCTTACATTTATCAAAAGTTTTACAAGTACAAAATCTGACAGGAAATAGGGTATACTTTTTCCGATGTATAAATCTGCTTGGAATAATTAGAAAATTAAAATAACTTTTTGTTTGTTGATAGTCAAATTAATTTCTTCAATAAATTATTATTTACCGTACAATTAATTTTTATTTTGTACAGCAAATTTTTACAGCATAAATTTTCTAACTCCTGACACATTTATAAAGTGATAACGACAGATGTTTCATTCATCAAACTCAGTCAAATAATTTTTTAATTTTTTTTGTTTTGGGAATTTTTTCTTGATTTAGTTAAAATAATTTACAAAAAATTCATTTTTAAAAAAGTCTGCCTGTATTTGAAATGTTTAATATACCATAACTTTAGTTATAAAAGATCAAAATTATTTTCCCCGTATTTCAAACACAAATTTCGTCTTGCTTTATTGAGCCAATTTCCAACGAAGATTAAGCAACACCACTTTTAAACATTTCGACACCCGTCTTTTGCACATTTTCAACAGACGTAACAACTAACGATGATACCACATTTGTACTTTAATCTTTTAGTTTTTTGATCTCAAACAAATGGAAGAAAAAAATTTGCTTTTCACCTATTACAGTTTAGGAGAGCAATAAAAATTAGCTACATTTGATGACAAAGAAAAAAAAAAAGTAACTTTTTTTCTGTTTTTCAAGAGCATTTTTTTCAAGCAAAACGACATTAAAAATAAATAATAATTAAGTTTTTTTTTTCATATTAAAATTTTAACAAAAAAAAAAAGAACAAAAAGTTTCAATTTATGTCACTGTTGTAGAGAAAAATTAATTGCTAAAAAAAAGTTGTAGAAGAATGAAAAGAAACAATAAAACATTGGACGACAACTAATAGCGGTGACCAAAGAACGACTGGCTACATAATTTATAATTCATAAAAAATGCATGTGCACAATGACGTTTCATCATCAGCTTTTTACATGATCGTAAACCTAATGCTTACGTAACACTAATATGCAAATTTAAGCATATTTTACTAGTTTAGTTTGCTATCGGTTCCTCTGACGAAAAAAA